CCTGTTGCTATTTATTGGTCCAATTGTGAGGATTTTTGTTTACTTTATATCAAGGTACAATCCATACTGAAGACTGTAGTTTTTGATGTTCATCAGTAAGATTTCAAGTCTTCTTGGCTTCCAGCAAGCAAGGTTGTATCATCTGCATATCCCAGGTTTTTAATGAGTCGTCTTCTAATGTTGATGCCATGTTCTTCTTCATATCATCAAACTCATTAATGCTAATGTTTCTTTAGTATTAATATTTATGTAACACATGAAAGATACAAATAAGTCATTTTAATGGTCCAAGCAAACAAATTGCCAAACAATTTATGCATATTTTGAGTAAGCAGAATTTGGTTGGTAACTGCTAAATACAGGTGATTTCTAGTCTAATATGGACAGTAACATCGTAAGTGAGGTCAACACTCTTAGACTACAGCTACTTTGGTGATTGGCTAGGAAAATGTCAGCGGAAACACAGAATAAAGAGATCACTTCATAGCTAGTGGGAGTCCCTGGAGGTACAAACAATTAACTTCTTAGCTACTAACCTGTGTGGTGCTGTGGGTTAATGTATTGGACTACAAAGTTGGTTTGAACTACAAGGTTGGTGGTTCAAGGTCACCAGATGCTCCTCAGAAACCCTATACAGGGTTGCTATGGGTCGGAACCAACTTGATGGCACTTAACAACAACAACAACCCTAAAGGTTGGCAGTTTAAATTTACCCATCGGTACCTTGGAATAAAGCCCTGACAATCTACTTCCAAGGGATGCCAGATGTTGAAAATTCTCTTGGAGCACAATTCTACTGTGACACACATGGGGTTGCCCTGAGATGGAATTAACGTCAAGGCAACTGGTTTGGGTTTTTCCAATCTGCTGCAGAGGGATGCCGTTGTGGTGATTTGTTTTGTTCTCTTTTCACTCTCAACCCTCAGGGATTTGTGTAGATTTCAGTTCTCTTCTTATTTATATCACTGCTATACAGGATTGCTGTGAGTCAGAATTGACTTGACAGCACTTAACAACAACAACATACTTGACACAGAAATGCTGGTGGGTAAATACAGTGGCTAAGTGCTCAGCTGCTTACCACCAGCTGCTCTTTAGGAGAAAGAATTATGTGGGTCACTCTGTTTCCATAAAGATTACAGCCTCAGAAACCTTATAGAGCAATTCTCTTCTGGCCTACAGAATCACTGTGAGTTGGAATTGACTCAAAGACAATGCATTTAACTTGATGCTCGTGTGTTCCTAGTGCTCATCAGGTAGAGAACTGTTTAGGAAGTTTCACTGAGCAATGACTAGCAATCAAGTATTGGAATAAAAGCTTTGTATCATTAAAATCATTGGGCATGTGGGAAGCCATCAAGGCAAGCAATCAAGTCCCTTCAGAACAAACCCCCCCTCTAAGATTGAAACTCAAAGGAAACACATGAGCAGGCATACAAGCTTGCTGGTGACTACACTGCTCTACTGGTGAGTGGAAGTGTGGGGGAAAGGCAGCAATGAAGAAACAGGCTGAGTTCAACCACATTCCATAGACTCCCATTGGCCTGGAGATGAGAGAGAGAAGAGGAAGGGCTGGTTAGTCCAAAGTGTGGTGAGACCTGGAGACACTTGAGCCCATGGAAAGAACATAACCACAGAGGGCTAGAGCGGAGAGTGAAGCATCCAGCTGATATAAAGTGAAGTGAGATGCACAAGAACACCCAAACTTGCAGACAATACCCATTTGACCTAGCCTCAATGGCTTGATAATCAGAACTTGACTAGAGGAAGATAAAAAAGAAAACAATTTTTTAATAAAGGAAATGAGGGTAAATTGCTACAATTTGATGAACCTGACCTATATTTATGGAGGTAGTAACTCTAAATACCAACAGAGAGGGAAGGAGTCTTCACATCAAGTATCAAAGCTATCCCTTCTGTACACAGGGTAGATAGGAACGGGCAACTTAAGACACTGGCTACCTAAAATGAGGGGGCTGATAAAGGTACGAATGACTGACTTACAAGGTATCAAGAGGGAGTTTAGTTTAAGAGAGTGTGTGGGAAGATAGAGTCCCCACTGAATAATTTTCATCTTGTCTAGATGGGTCTGGTGAAAAGAGATGGGGATAAGATTCTTATGATTCAATAGTGAGTAATTGTTATTATGACTAATTGCAACTGTCACAATTGTAAAGGTAGAAGTTTTGTAACAAAAATGGGGGAGTAGTTAATCTTATAGTCCCAGAACAGAGGACCCTAGGATTATCAAGGGAGAAGAGCACAAGTAGAATGCAGGACCATATCCAGAGAAGCAGCAACAATATAGATGGAAGCAGAGATGGGGACATGGAGACAAGGAACAGCTGAGGACTTTAGACTCATGGAAAGAGAAAGGCTGTGTGCAGACAGCCAGGTGCTGAAGGCCAAGAGGCAGGCTTGCAGGATGTGCCCTTTGGTGGTATAAATTATTACATTTGCCTGAGTGTTTTTTTTTTTAAAGAAGTAAAATGAAGAGAGAGCAATACTGTTAACTGATGGAAATGGGGGGATTATAATCATTGAATGTAAAACTGATGATCTCCCCTATAAACTTTCACTTAATTCCCAATAAAAACTTAAAAAAAAAAAGACCAAGTTTACTGGTCAGAAAGAGACTAGAGGTACCCAAGACTATGGCCTCAGCCACCCTTCAGGTCTGGAATCGAATGCCTCCTCATGGCCCAATTTTCATCCAAGTGGTAGATAGGTATATATGGAGACAACAACACTAGCAAGGTATGTTCACCATGGAATGGCCAATTATTCAAATTAAAAGGGCAACATTTACTATATAAGAACAAAGTTCAGAAGGGTTGGGAAGGAGGATAGAATGGAAATAAGAACCCCAGGGAGGAAATCATTGAGATGGAACAAAGTGTATGATTTGTTAAATATAAAACTGGTGTGCTGCTCTGTAAACCTTCATTCAATTCACAATAAAAATCTTCAAAGAAAACAACAACCACAAAAAAGTCACTGGGCATGATGTGATTGTGACTCAGGCTTCTAACTTGGATTTTCTATTTCAGTACTTTACTCTTTCCTTCATTCTATCTCTAATCTTTGACTTTTTTCCCCTCCTAGTTTCTCTTCTCCTACACCTTTCCTGCTATATTTAATTATCTTCTGTTCTTTTATTAACTCCTTTCTTGATCCTTCTGCTTCTATTTTTAACACCCTTTCTTGCTATTTTACTACTTTCACTATAACAGAACTTTTACTCCCCAATATTAATATGACACTTTATGTGGAGTGCTGAGCACAGGACATAGCAATGTTGGAACGTTTAGAGTACCCATCAACTGTGCTATTAGCTTCAGTCACAAAATAAATGTTAAGAATGGAGTTGTGTGAACCTCCATTATTTGATCATTTTATTTATAAGTAATGCTAGACCATAATTCAGGTAATAAAAATTTGTGACAGAGTACTGTTTTATAGAAGCAGCAATATCCTGTAGAAAATGAAACCAGACAGGAAATCAGGAGATGATCGATCCTACCCTTCCAAACACTGAGTAAGCGCCAGCAAATAACTGCTGCAAAGTGTACACATGCCTCGGTTGGCTCTTTTGTAAAATGAAGATAATATTTGACCCTATTATCTGACAGAAATGGGCTAAAGATGATTTAGATAATATAGATTTGAAAGTTATTTTCTTTAGAAGGGGGGAAGTACTATGTCATGCATCAGTATTTGTAATTATCTATTCATCAGATAACCTGACTTAGTGATTCTATCACACAAAGACAGAAAATGTATTTATTATCAAATTTTGGTTAACTCTCTCCTTCTAAGCTGCACAGTTTTTGGAGCTAGCATGTCTGGGACCTGGTTAATAATGGTCCCTTTCTATACCGTTTCTTTGTGTGAATATGCTTTTCCGAACCTTCCTCTGATAATGGATTTACTTTTCTCCAAAGGACCTTGGCAGCCACAAGAAAGTGTTCTTAAGCCTTCTCCTCCAATTTACAATGATACAGAAATCCGAAGAGAATCAGAAGTATGTTTGTGTATGCCATTTTCCAACAACAGAGAGGTTCCTCAAGAGAATGGCAAATATAAGGAATAGGGACACATTCTCTTAATATCCTTTAACAGACACTGCCCTTCAATTAGCCACAGAATCAGGATGACATATACATCATGGACTCTACAGGCAGATACATGAGTGTAAAAGCCTATAAAATATCCAGTTTCATACTATCCATGCTAGAAAGATGAAAAATATCCCTTTCCATTCATCTCCAATCTATTCAGAAATACTGCTGACTCACTGGGATTATGAAATACAGACTCTCCCTAACAGAATTCCACTAGAGCTGGTTTCCATTATATAAAGTTTTTCTGTCAATTCGTAACTCTACAAATAATTCCCTCCACATTTTTGAGTTCCTTCATAATTCTGAAAGGAACTCTACAAAGGTCTTCAAAATAAAAATCTTTTGTTATTGAGCATATCACACATTCGTTTCATAATGCTGTTCTTTCTGAAAACTCTTCCTTTATGCCCCTTCATTCCCCTTACCAAGAAAAGAGAACATAAAAACATCTGCTATAAACAAGTTTAAGTACTTCATTACTGGAAAAGTCTCTAGTAAAAATTAACATAAAAGCATTAGAAAGGAATAACCATTCACTCAATATTTTATGTCTTGTATTTTCTGATTTTTATCTAAATACACTGCAACCAAGTAGCTTCTACTTCTACATGCATATATACTTATATATATATTTATTTACACACACATACACATACATATAGATACACTTAAATGTGTATATCTAACAACACAGAATGGTAACGTATCAAATGCTTAGATTCCGTGCAGACAAAGCACTTCCTGTGAAGGAAACAGTCATATTATAAAAGCAAGTCAAGGAGAGTTGCATGCAACTACTATAGAGGCTAGGGGTGGGAAGGGGGAGTGGGAGCAGGAGGACCACAAAGAACGTAAAGAACAAAAAGTGTCATTGACCTGATTTGTCAGAGTTGTTGCCTGTGATGGGCGTGATGGAGCAGCTGGGATTAGCCTTTGCGCTGTCCTTGGAAGAAACCATTTTGGGTTTATTTTTCGTTGCCTCTAGTGCTTTGACCTTCTTGGCATGTTTACTTCCTTTGTAGTGGGCCTCGGCCTGGCTCTACAAAGGAGAACAAATCAGGCTCATTTTTTGCTACTTAACAAACACCACAATGGATGATCATGCAAGAAAAAAAAAATACATTCAATCCTAGGTAGCACAGACATCTTACAACTCAGCACTTGACTATGCTTCTGGCATTTCATCAAGTGTTAGACAAGCATCAGAGAGATGTCAGCATATTGAAACCGTCTATATAACATGGAGCATCGCAATTTTAGAAACCAAACATTACACATGTGGACAACAGAGCTAGGGCAAAACTGCCACAAAGGTGGGCTTTGTCACCTGTGCCTTCCCACCACTGCCCCATTGGTGTTACTTATCAAACACTGGCCTTCAGGGGCCTCAGACTAGCTGGGAGCAAGCTCCTTAAATGTCTTACCAGAGCATAACCTTCCACAACCATCCCAACCCTCCCTGCAGCTAGTTATCTGTCTATCCTGTATCTGTGCTCTTCTGGACTCTGCCCTAAGACCAAATGGACAGATAAAACAGTGTGTTAATAGATGCTCTTCTTCTTCTGTACCACTGACTTGATTCTGACTTATAGCAACATTAAATTAGAGAGTATGAGTACCCTATAGGATTTTCTAGAAGGAAGGAGCTCTGGTAGCGTTGTGGTTACAAGTCAAACTGCTAACCTCAAGGTCAGCAGTTCAAAACTACCAGCTGGTCTGTGGGAGAAAGATGAGGCTTTCTGCTCCTATAAAGATTTACAGCCTTGGAAACCCTATACAGGGATGCTATGAGTTGGAACAGACTCCACGGCACACCACCACCACCACCAATCTTCACAGAAGTAGATGGCTGCATAGGTTTGAACCACCAATCTTTCAGTTAGCAATTGAGGACTTAACCACTGTGTCATCAGAGCCCCTTTAATAGACATTGCTGTTGTCAAGTGCCACTGAATTGGATCAGATTCATAATGACCCTGAATAGGATTTCTGAGGAGCAGATGGATGGTGGGTTTGAACTGCCAGCCATGTGGTCAACAGTCCAGTGTTTATCCTATAGTGCCGCGCCAGGACTCCATAACAGATGCTAGTGAGTGAGATAGAGCATTCTTGAGACATCTGTGTGCTCCTCTGGTGCCATTTTGATCATTTTCAGTTCAAAGATTAGATACTAAATGAGACAAAGGAAGCAGGAACCATTCTTACTGGGATCTTAAATGTGATTCTATAGTCAAATCAGTCTTCATTCAGTTCTTTTATACACAGCATAATTGTAGGTAGAACTCTGACTTCAATATTATAACAAAAAATAAGAAAACTATAAAGAAAAGTGATTAGTGAAAATTTCCAAAAGACAAGAATTAGTTACAGGAAACTGAGAAGACATTTTGATGACTGACTAAAATCTGGAAAATTCCTGTATAAAGAACAAGGCTTTTATTTTTTGGTGTCTAGACTGCAAAGTTGGTTTGAACTGCAAGGTCAATGAATAGAACTCAGCAGCTGCCCCTCAGAAACCCTATACAGGGGGGTTGCTATGAGTTGGAACCAACTCGACAGTACTTAACAATAGCAGCAGTATTAATGTACACATTAATAAAAGGTAGTGGTTACGAATCGGGCTGCAAACCTCAAGATCAGTAGTTCGAAACTACCAGCTATTCCACGGGACAAAGATGAGGCTTTCTGCTCCTGTAAAGATTTACAGCCTCAGAAGCCCTGTACAGGGTTGCTATGAGTTGGAACCGACTCCACGGCACACAACAACAACAACAACAACAACTTAGGGGTAGGTACGATTTCTACTGTTATTTACTGCCATCCAGTTGGTTCTGACTGACGGCAACCCTGTATGGGGTTTCTGAAGAGCATCTGGTGGGTTTGAACCACCAGCCTTGCAGTTAGCAGTCCAGTGTTTATCCTACAGTGCCCACCAGGACTCCATGAATTCAATTATGTGCCTCCAGATATGTAATAGGATTACATTCACAAGTATTGGGTTAGATTCAAATCCTTGTGAATGTAATCCTGTTTGGAAATAGGGCTTTGTTTTGTTACCTAGTGCAAAGCTGAGTAGGGTGAGTTCTAAATCTAACCCCCTCTGAGAGTAGATTAGACACAGACACACACACAGAGGAAGACAGCTGTCATGGGAAGATTGTCTACAAACCAAGAAAAGTATACACACAGCTGAGACCCTCATTTGAATTTCTAGCCTCCAAAACTGTAGAAAATAATTTTTTTTAAAGCCACCCACTTGTACTGTAGTGGTTATGAGTTGGGCTGCGAACCTCAAGGTCAGCAGTTCAATACTACCAGCAGTTCTGTGGGAGAAAGATGGGGCTTTCTGCTCCCGTAAAGATTTATAGCCTCGGAAACCCTATACAAGGTTGCTGTGGGTTGGAACCAATTCAACGGCACTTAACAACAAGAATACTGGGAGGAAGTATAGTGGATCCATATGATAAGCAATGGACTACAAACCACAAGAACCTCCATTTGACTCTACCAGCAGCTTGGAGGCTTTCTGGTCTGGTGCTGATTTAAGCCTTGGAAACCCTATACAGGGTTGCTGTGAGTCGTAACTGACTCTATGGCTCTTAACAACAAAGGATGCTAGGAAGGAGCCCTGGTAGCATAGTGGATTATGAGCTTGGCTGCTAATTACAAGGTCAGTAGTTTGAATCTATCACTTACTCCATGGGAAAAATATGAGGCTTTCTGATCCCATAAAAATTTGAGTCAGAGTGGCATACAACCACCACCAGGATACTAGGCTGGGGCCAGTGAGGCTTCACCCATGTGTGGTGGCAGGTGTAATACAGAGCCATGAATCAGCAAGAGTGAACTAGCATGGTGAAACATACATATTGTGGGAGGTAGAGAACAATAAAAATGACCAATGAGGAGTGGTATTGGAGACTTGCTAACATTGGTAACTTTTAACTTAAGGTTTGAAGAAAGGGGTAGATATGAAGTGGTAAGGAAAAATGCAGTTCTGTTGGGAAGACATATGCTTAAAGAAAGGACTAGAGTTGAATGCCAGAACAGTCCGAGGTATGGCTGAAAAGTAACCCATGTAAGCTCCTTGGTAGGATAGCTTCAACAGGAAGCCAAGGAACCTGGATGTGCCACTCTGGAGTAAGCCATCACTGAGATGAGATCCTCAAGCTGGGATAGGATGATGTGAATTTCACATGGGAGAGATTTTGACAGCAGGTATTTATTATTTGTTGATACAATATGAGAGATATGAGATGAGACAATCTAGAAGGTAGTAGTAGGGAGAATTGTATAATTTTTTAGATACTTTAGTATATAAAAATTAATGTATTAACCCCCCCACCATTAAAGTAACATCAGCAATTTCTTGAAGCCTTGATCATTATCAGTTAGTCCTTTTCTGCCTTTGCTCAAATAGAACCATTTCAGTTCTAACTACTAGGACTCTGTCAATATACCATGATTAGACTAAGCCATCTGTAGTTTAATCACTAAGACTAGTTAGTGATTAAAGGCTAACTTTGGTATGTTGTTGGGAGTGTTTCTTTTGATTTCCCTGCTCATTCTATTCCATTTCCCCAGACATATGTTGCTTTGCTCTCGGCTGACATCATCCATACATGGTCCAGTAAAACTGGTGTTGTGGAGCAACACTTCAATGTCAGCATCATTTCCAGATCTTGGACGGAGGCAAAATCACTTTATCTTAAGTTCATGAATGATGTTGATGAAATTGTTCATGCCAAATATGATATCTAATGCAATCACAAATCTCAAGGTTCATGCAGTGAGCATAATACCCATGCATTTGCTTTCCCATCTGAGCTGGAGTTTGATGATAAATTAATGACACATTCTGTCTTTCAGTATTCCTTGACTCTGCTGTGCTATTTCTTGTGGGGTGGGAGGAAGTTAGGCAAGCAATGACAGGTTTTAGTTCTGTATTACAATGGATGATCTACCAGTGATTTTCCTAGTATATAACCCAGATCACACAAGGTCGTAGCCTTGTCCTGATTGTACACAGTCCCTAACTTCCTGAATATCTTTTAGTAAATAATGTGTTTAGATTACCATTGACTTATCATGGCTCTTAGTTTGGTTTGCTCAAGAACTTTTTAAGATGCTGACAGTTAAGTTGGAAAAAAACAAAAAAGCAATCCCAAGAAGGGAGAAAACTGTAAGTTATTTCTAAGTCCTTTATTACCAACTAAGTATGGCTGCACCCATACATAGAAATATAAATTAAAATATATAAATAAATAAATTTTTAAATGGATGTAATATGATCATTTGTTGTTGTTGTTATGTACTGTGGAGTTGGTTCCAACTCATAGCGACCCTGCGCAGGGTTTCCGAGGCTGTAAATCTTTACGGGAGAAGAAAACCTCATCTTTCTCCTGAGGAACAACTGGTAGTTTTGAACTGCTGACCCTAAGGTTCGCAACCACTATGATTCGTAACCACTACGCTACCAGAGCTCCTTAATATGATCATTAGTAACTAAAATTATTGAACACTATGCCAAGCATGGGTCCAAATGCTTTACATGCATAAGTACTCCCTCATTTAAGCTCTAGGATACACTTCAGGTTTAACTAATAAGCACATAAAAAACGAACACTGAAATTGTCTCAATTTCAGTGCATGGTGACCCCCTGTGTTACAGAGGAGAACTGCCCCATGGTGTTAGTTTTCTAGACTGGAATCTCAATGGAAGCAAACTTCAGACCTTTCTTTTGTGGTGCTGCTATGTAGGTTCAAACCATTAACTAGGTCAGTAGTTGAGTGCAAACCTTTTGTACCACCTAGGGACCAAGTTCCCTGTGAGGTAGGTACCACTATTGATGTTGTTAGGTGTTTTGAGTTGGTTCTGACTCATAGACCCTGTATAGGATTTCTGAGAAGCAGCTGGTATGTTTGAACTGTCAGTCCAGTGCTGATCCTACAGTTCCACACCAGGACCAACGTTTTTATAAATAGGAAATGGCACAGAGAAGTGATTTACCAAAAGTAATAGATAAAAAGCCGGTTATT